GAAGCTATTTCGAGATTCACTATGAATACTTTATCCCCCCCCTGCATCTGCAGTCTCTTGTTGACGCATTTGGCCTATCAGCTGCGGTTATGGTTCTGCAAAGTTTCATGCAGTCTATAAGGTGATAAGTTGAGAAGTTTCATTATTTTCCTCTCGGGGCGCATTGCATAACTCGCATTTTTCTTCGTCATTGAATATCTATGAATCTCGATTTTGGCTGCTCATTTCCAGAAGGATAATCCACTCCGCGTACGTTGTTATGTGCATTTGCCTATAGAGGGCGTGCATATCTGTGAATAAACGTGGGATCACTGCCTCAGATAATCGCAGTCAAGTAGCTATTCAAGTGATTAATCTCCATAAGTTCTGAAGGTCAGTGCATGTATCCAGGTCAGCTTTCCTTAGTGTGCGTTGTTTGTCGAGAGCGGCAGTAGTTAGAAGAAGTTCAAGGGCTACATAGGGGGTTGGAAATTTAGTTAGGGACCTTGATCCACTAAGATGTTTTGTTCTACCTACCTAGAGATAATGGGTGGTGAGTCTGAGCCTCACAGGTAGTGTCATTCATATGTCACCGACTTACAACACAGATCGAATTGACAAAGTATTGAAAAACGGTTCTCGTTGCTCGGGTGAATTGAATTGCATTTCGTCTGTTCGCCGAGCTTGGCACTTTGATTATGTCAACTCAGCTGATGATGAAACGTTTGCAAACAAATCACCAAGCTCGGCGAATAGGTAAACTGGAAGAGATCGAATTTTCTTCTGATCTATTTATCTTGGCACCTCATTTATTTTCCTATTTCTTCCCCTGAATCCACTCATGTTTGTTCACAAGCCAATGACATATATATTATATTTATAAGTAGAAATATATACCGCTGTTTTGAACGTCTGAAATTCGTTCCGACCAGATACAGACTGATGTTTGAATACGAGACTGAGTCTGTTGAGTTGCTGAAAACAGTAAAATAAACCAAATGGATATTTCTGTACGTGCCAGATTCTGCAGTTTCCTGCGTATCAGACTTGAAAGCTTTGTACGCCCGGTGGCTGAAACATTCCTTGGGTTGCCATGTATTTAGGCTTACGTGCTTTGCATACACATAATTTCAATTCAGATACCCAGTATTTGAACATAGCTTTAACGTCTTGAGGACAACTAATGCCAACATTCACTTTATCAGATCCTGGACCCGAGAACCCCTGGAGGATATCCGGTGAGAGAACAAATGTTAAACGCTAATCGTAAAACAGAGGAATGATCTTGAATGTTCGTTAATCAGATGAAAGAGAAGACAATAGGTGGGGTTTCCTACGTAAAGGTTGAGCTTGCTTGTACTCCGCTAACTATCAGCGTCTGCACGTTGTGACGGTGTTGAATGGAAGAAGTTCTGAAGATTCTTTCCAAGGTCAATCCCTGGTTTACACCAGAGCACAGTCCTGTGCTACCTGCACAGTTGCTAACCTAACACAGATGGTATACTATGACCCAGTCAACAGAACTTTCAGTAGTTTCTTATGCTGAGGCAGAAATCGTGTCTAATAACTCATGTTAGATCTTTCCTGGCCATAGTTGTCTGTCAATTTCATATTGGGATTATTTATGCTCATTCACATTCAGGAATGAGCAACTTTCATCAATCATATATTTGCGAAAGTTCTTTCTCTCAGTTTTTACAAAGGCTTTGTAAGGGTGTAGAGTCAAACTGCCCTAGTTTTTCATTAATGTTTAACTTTCGGATTCATTGTTCTTCTTGGGTGACCTAAGAGAAGAAGAATATTCTCAATGATGCTTAGAATAAATGACACTCAGTAAAATCCAGCTTACTTCCATTCAACGTAAGTATTTTTTCTGGTTCACCTACATAAATTCATATATTCACATAACATAGCAAAACGGATTTTTGTTCCTTGACTTTGTTTTACAGGTGTCCAATACAATAATGAGCAAGGATCTATCCAGTACAAGCGCAAAGATCCTAAAGCGCAAGAGAAAGCGTTGATCTAGTCCGAATGTCGGACGATTACAGATTTTGTGGATCTAAGTCTTTTCACATAAACCTAATTCTTTCTCTCACCCACGTGACTTCTAGCCACTGCGACTGGATTTCGATCGAATTACTCCGCCAAGTTTTCCGTTCATTTCCTGCTTCACTCTTCGAGTTCCCATCGCTTTCTGAAACCAAATTTATTTTGCTCGGTCCTCGTGCAAACATGCTCTCGTCCAACTGTGAACGTATTCATCCATCATATTCATTCATCTAACCAACCAACCATCGATCCATCTACTCAATCAAATGGTTGAATTCACCGGACAGATTTTTGATCAATCCACGAGTGATTGGTCTGTTATAGTTGTACTGCATCGCACCGGTCGATGCCCTCTGCACTCCCTCCCCGTAGGGCTCGGAGGTATTTTTCAACACTGTGTCTATGTTATGGCGTGCGTACGTCTGTGTTAGCGTCTGTGGGTGTACAAACCGCCAGTTTCCGAAATTTCTCAAAATACTAACCATCATCGTGAACAACATATGCTCATTGTTGTATCTCTTTGTAATTAGTGCTCAGTCTGCACTTGCATTGGCATCGTTCAAATCCAACCGTGATCTGCCGCATGTGGAATTATTATTCTGTACCCATAGGAGCCTAAAAATGTGACCGGCATTGAGTAAACTACACAGAACAAACTTGTGCGATTGGAAGCTGATTCGGGTTTGTTTTGAAAAAGAATTCTACTCAGCCAACAAGTACCTTGAAAACAGTTTCACGAAGTTTGTCAAAGAGCGAAAGACGGTTATTTTGCGAAGTATCTAATAACAACGCCAAAGGGAATTAGCTTATCCGAGGGACTACTTTTATCTCATACCTTGAGAGCTATTCCTTGTGGACTCAATTACTGGTACATGAACGAATGGACTTTTCCTCGAGACATGTGGCCGACTTCATTGTTCATATCACTCATCGTAAACACGTGCTCAGTAATTCTCCAAGAAGGTCGTGTTACTGATCATCTACTTAGGAAAATGCTTTAGCCAAGGTAATCTTGATCACCATGCATATCGTAATTTATAACGGGACATTAACTGACTCGTACTACGGATTCAGAGTGCGTAACATTTTAACTCAATTCAAGCGTTCACATCTATCAGTTAGGATAGGGTGACATCAGATACCGCTTGGTTATGTACTAATCCACTGATGTATAATGAATCAACCGTTGAGTCACTGACATTACTATCTCGCTTGCACATAAAAAACTCGAAAAGCGGTCGGAAAATCAGACCTATACGTCACCATACCATCGGGTTCCACCTACCTATCTCTACGCTGGCACTGAGCAATTGATGGAGCTCAAATACGGTGACCTCAGTGAGCAACTAGACGGTGCATCGGGTGATCCAGGTGCATATAGAACGGGTGGAGTTTTTGCGGTAATTTTACCAGCCAATTGAAAGATTCAGAAGTCACATTGCGAGCTATGATCGGGTTGATAACCGACTGGCAGCCAGCTCAGTCAGGAGAGATTGATAGCCCTGATTTCTAACAACCCAAATAAGAGGCGTGCAAGCTGATTCCAGGACATATTTTTTCGTGACAGCCACCCCGCCGCATGACCAATTTTCTAAAGACATCAGATACGGCTAGTCGGTCACCAACCCTCGGCTAACTGCATTTTTCACATAGAGTCCCACTATTCTACACTTCTTATGAGAACTCCGAAAGAAAACATCTAGTTTGACATGAGCAACCTGGTAGTATTACGGCTACCAACGAATCATGGGGAAATTTCCATTGATTATCGTATTATGATTTACTTAATGGACAGTCCGAAACCAGACTACGGTGAAATATAACGCATTATGCAGTGAATGAATTGTTTTATCAGTTAGGTTTTCCGTGCGTTTTGTTCTGGCTATCTGTTGCCACGAGATCGGTTGACCCAACTAGTAACGGTTTGAGCTGTCTTATTGCTTCAAATATTATGAATAACAGCTTACGTGAACTAATTTTTCATTTTTGCATTCGATTATTAGAGCTAATTATGATCCAATTCATTTTATTTTACACACCGAGGGAACAATTTACCGTAATTCCGACAAACTGGGGAAGAAGAGAAGGTCCTGTTTACTCCATCTCTGTAAGATTATTTAATCTACACGACCATGAATGTTTTAATCTTTTATCGAGTAACGGATGATTCGATTCCACCTTGCTTTTCACCAATAACCAACGCCATAAGCACAGTCTATCGAAGAAGGCCATTTGGATTCTGGTGCAATATGATTGCACTGCCATAGATTCGACCAAGTTGGTCGCGAGATAAACAGAAAATTGCATAATGCATGGGCAACCTATTTGTGTGGTATATGATTTCTTTGTCAATGTCTTAACATTTCCTTCGAAGATCCTGAATTAAAATGTTCAAAAAATCACATGGAACCGGTATTGTTAGGCACCAAACCAACCAATAAACTCGGCCTAATTGACTGAAGTGTAATATGCGTTTTTCGGTCGGTGCAGAACAGCTGCGTACAATGGAGAAGGAAGGCAGTAGTTCGAAATGAGAATGCTTTATATTGGCTGCAAATGTATGAAAAAGTGAAAAAAATGTGTGAACTGGAAGCAGAGGAAGACTGGGAAATACAGAATGGACTGAGATACGCCATTAGTGAGCACCCAGAGATACGGATGATTCACGTGAGAATGATATGCCATGATATGATAGGTGGGGATCCGGGTCTTAAATTAAAAAGTACAAAGTACAAAAACAAAACAAAACATGTGAATACGAATTGCTCTGTGTAGAAAAAAAGACAAGGAAGAAGAGATTGGCTACACAGAAAATACAACAAACGCTTTATGTTGTTGCGGTTGCTATTGTTGCTTTTTGCACATGTCATAGGCAGCATAAATATACACTGTGCAGGGAAAGAAAATAAGTAAGTCAAAAATAAGATACATCAACAACTGATTGCAGAATAGAACCTATGGTTCAACAGTTATCGCTCCAAAGTCCCCGGAGTAGATGTTGGATCCGGACAGTACCGATCTGCTGGATCCTCTGCATCACTTTCATTCGCACCTTCACCACTCTCCCCACCTGGTGTAACCGTTCCTGTGTGTCTTCCCGTCTCTGTGGGAATGCGTGCGTTTTCACTTTCTGCGATCGCTTCTTCCGTGGCTAATTCCGGCAGGGCCATACCCATTGCGGATCGATGTATTTGCCACTGACGTAAATAGTACTGTCTTTGACGTGCGCTACGTCGAAGCCATAGTTGTCGATTAAGAAACGGTAAATTGTCATCTGAGTCACCTTGTACCCGCGAATTGCTGGGTTGTGGTGAATTCAGCGGATCCGGTTCTTGTTCTGGATCTGGGTCTTCCTCCGTTCCCTCCATAGCTTGCATGTGGTCCGACTGAGCAAATGCGGACGGCCACTGGGGCCAAACGTAACCCGCAGCAGCCTCGATTTCGAAATTCGGTGGCATACTATTCCGTATACGGTCAAATTCAGATGAATTGACTGTGTGCGTGGAACATGTGCATGATTCGGTTGCACTTTCCAACTGTGAAGAGGATGGAGGTTGGCATACATTAACGTGAGTCGGTTGTTCTGAGCCAGTTGGTGGAGTTGTTATTGTGCTTGTTGCCGGTCCGATCATGCTGCTCCGACTTTCACTACTATTGTACCCAAGGTTGGACAAAACCAACTGACTGAGTGAACTGTCCTGATCACTGGAAAGCAGTGGCTGACCGCTGCTCGTTCGCGAATCTGTACTGAGCAGATTTCCGGCATGGAATGGATGAATTGTACGGCTGATTGGAGTGGTCACCGTCGGTACACCATATTTACGGTTGATTGGATTGGACGAATTCGGTCCATGGGTATCAGCCAGAACTGGGTGACTGTGATGAGCCGGATTGTTCGAATTCCAAGGATCTCCAAGTGCGGAAGATGTCCGACTAAGTGAGGTCGATAATGTGTGCTCCGATGGAACACAAGTACTGCGACGCTTCTGTGACTGATAGCGTGCAAAACGTCCATTTGGAGCGATCAGTGCCGGAGGTAAGATGAAACTGCTTCGCATTCGTCGACGAGGATCAAAACGACGTGCCGACTGAATTCCAGCAAGTTGGTGCCCTGAACCATAAATTCCGGTACTGTTAGATACCGGTGCCGATGGGTTCACATGGACTGAAGGTCCTTGTGTTGTGTTCACTCCGTTGGGACGATCACTGGACAGATGAAAACTAGGATAGAGCGTGGTGCGGCTTCGTGTATCGCCGCCTGTGCTATGATCAGGATAACCAGTAGCGATGCTGCTTGTGGCCTGTAGAATGAAATGAAAGTAGAAGTCGTCATTTAACCACAGAGAACACGTTTTGAATTGTAACTGTGATGTTAGCACGGGCATCGTTTGCACATCAATTAAAATACTTATAACTACGAAATGAAATGTCTCATAGGACGGCATTTTTTGTCTAATATGTATCGTAATTACAAAGATTCAGTATGGTAGGGGGTTGATGTCTTGAGTTATGACTGGTCAGCCCTCTCCTGCACCTTACGAAATGTTCCAATATGCGATTACGATTATAAAGAAATTATGATCTTAATCGCTGTTGAGAAATTCGTAAGATGGTTGAACACCAAGTGTGCCGTAAATTGCTGTATCAGAGCACATTCCCACCACATGGTCACCTGTAAGGTAGACTCTTGATTACATGCATAAAAATAAGACATTATGACAAGAAATAGACTTCCAACATTCACCCAATGAATCGATCGGCTGAACACAACTGTAATAAGACAGCATATAGTGAGTAGATTGGACTGCATTGACAGAAATAGTGCGCACATGAATTCAATTTGCCACTGATACTGTAAATTAGCACGAAAATGCTTCACCTCAGTGTTATCACTCTTATAATTGAGCAGTCCATTATACGTTCTGCGGGACTGCTTAAACATAAATCAGTCCATAGAACAACACGATGTACATGAAAAGCGATAGAATTAGTGGGGAGTGAGTGGAGTGGAAACAACCACCGTTCTTATTTATTCTTCGTTTCGTATGACTAGCAATTCGGTCATCAGTGGACTATAGGTTTTTCGTTCAGTGATTCCTTTAAGGAGACGCATTTTCCTGTATTGGATCCGTCAATTGTGGTGGCGATTTCACCGTTGTCCGTCTGCACGAACCCGACGTTAGGCATGGCATATAAGCATAGTATCCAACGACTTGGCAGTTACCACCACTTGCGATTCAGTTGGGCACTTTGACTAGTCTTGAGAGGCTCAACAGAGCGATGGGAATGTTATCATTAGGTTAATGTTGCCATAATGACTGTAATTGCGCTCACATCTATCAACTGAATGAAAGTAACTAATTTATGATCTATTGGGTCAAATGACCTGACTGATTATCACTGAAGACGACACCTGAACAAACATTAATTGGCAATTCGGTTCAGCCCTGGTACAGTGGTAATACACACCTTCCATACGATGGGTCTGGAGTTCAAATCCCGGAGGGGACGGTGGATATGCATTACTGATGAGCTCCAATAAGAGTGCAACTGGAGTCTAGTGCTTCCGCGTGTACGATTGAGTAGACGAAGTGGGGATTGTGCGGACGGCGAAGCCCGAGGGCTAGTCAGCTCAAATCAATATCAGTTATCTCACACAACTACTCATAAGCTATTGTGAGTAAACTGTGAAATAGTTGATGAACACTTATATAGCCCGAATTCATCATGGACAATACTGAACTGAAAAAGAATAATGTGATCACTGACATGAACGCAAAACTCAGAAGAAGACCAATCCTGATACCCACTCCCGTTGTGTAGATACTGATCCATACAAACAGTCGCCATCAGAGAATAATAAACAGTTTTGTGAACATACGTACCCCAGAAGGCACACCAGCAGTTCAATTTCAGTTTGTACAACCATTAACCTCGCATATTCGTGCACCGCTTTTGGTTGCTGTCTTCTAGCCGCCCATTTGGATGAAGAATAGGAGAACAAAGGAAAGTTGAAAGTAAAGTCGCAAAGAAAATGGGGAAGTTCAGTGGTCTACGGTTGCAAAGAAATTGAGAAGATGCACGAACGCCACTGTTTACGACACCCAGCCATATCACTCAGTGTATCCAACCATCGGTTGCGATCATCCCGAGGTCCCTAGCCAGGGAGCCTAACGGGACCTATATGACCCAGACTCCTGGTTACGGTATTTATACCATCATGCCAGTCTTATTTTGACTACCCTTAGATTTGTTGCACCTACTTAATTCGACAAACATTACTCGCCGTGGCAACCTAGTTGGTGACACGCGTGACACATGCCCCAACCAACGTAATCTATGACGGTCGACTACTTGCTCCAGTGGGTGATCGCGGATACCAAAAATGCTGCGTCTAACCTCAACATTGCTCATCCGGCTACCACATCAGATTCGTGCAATGCTGAGTAGACAGCGGTGTTCGAACATCGACAGTCTATCTTTATCCTGTTTTCTCAATGGTCAAGTTTCTGCACCGTAAATCAGGACTGGTCGAACTGCCACAGCATATACTCGACCCTTCACAGATATCCGAATGTCACAACGGTGCGACAGATGTCTCAAGTTGGCAAATGCCAACCGAGCCTTCTGTATGCGAGCTGACACTTCATCTGTAATGCATCCACCGGGTCAGATGTAGCTGCCCAAATAACGAAACTCATCCACTCGCTCTATTACTTCTTCAGTTAGAGTGAGGCTGGGTGCTGGACCAGCCCAGTCTCGTAGTGAAATTGTACACTTTGAAGGTGCAAAACGCATACCGAAGATGGCTACACTGGCATTCAAGTTATCCAGAAATGCTTGCATCTTACCTGGATCTTCTCTTAGCAGCACAATGTGGTCTGCGTACTCTAGATCAGACAGTCTGCCTCCTCGAAGTAAATCGATAGCGCTATCCTCGCATGAGGATAGGGCTGTTTCCATAATCGAATAGATAACAAAGTTGAATAGAAAAGGAGAAAGAAGGCAACCCTGACGAACACCACTTTCCGTGGTGAACTCGGGCGAAAACGTTCCGTAAGCCTGGACTCGGCTTCGGCCATTAGTACAAAGCGATCGTAATATTGAAACTAACTTCTTGGACACACTCTTCAAGGAAAGACAGCACCAGAATTTAGAGCGGTCGACTGAGTCGAAAGCCGCTTTCAGATCCAGGAAGACAGAGGTGGTAAGTCTACGAATTTGGCGGAAAGTGAAGATGTGGTCGATACAACCTCCACCGGGCCTAAAACCAGCCTGGTTCTCACACGTGCACCGTTCACGTGCAACAGACAATCGGCGGAGTATAATCTCTGCACGAAATTTAGAGAGTTACACCATAATGAAGCAGTTAAGTTGTCTTACTGCCAGGTACATTTTTCCGCAACACTTAATAAATCCATAGTCAGTTAGCATAGATCTTCCGCTGAGTCGTAAATAAGCTTGCGAAAAGAGTCAGGTTGCAAGAAATCAGCCTTTCCGATAGTGATAGATTAACGGTGTATAGCGAGGCATTTCCATAATAAGTGAAAGGTATGATATAGATTTCACGTCTCATGTAACCGAGGTATGTGGAAGCATCTATGTGTGTAATTTTTCCTCTATTTATGATAAAGCAAACAATGATATAATAATCAACTCACTCTGGAATGTAAGTACAAATTCGGTTGTTGGGCGTACTGCGTGAACATCTCGTACAATTCATTGAAGTTAGGTCTTGATTCGGGATCTTCATCCCAACCTGATTTTTAGACACAGGAGAAACGGAAACTGTGGTGAGTGCCACATTAAGCAGCGGGATAAATATACACATTTGAACCTATTTTTAATTTCTAGTCACACTTTTTATTCGACCAATCACTTATTACGGGCATGCTGGAAATGATTAATTGAATAAAGAAAAGCTGAATTAAAGGAGTCTTGGAACTGCTGTGCGTTTTGACAATGTGACCGGCAGTTTCATGAATTCAAGAACTTCAAGTAAAATTTGTTTTTAACGTTAGGTTATTTGAAAACCACTGGACAAATAAGCATATAGATTCGAACCACTTACTTTGTTTTTTATTACACACCTAAGTTTGATTAACAGCAGAGGGGGTGAACCCCATAGTCATGAGGACCTGTTGCTCAGTGGTTGAAACCGGCAACCGAAGCCCTGGGAATTGGAGTGGTGAACCACATAAGGCCCCGATAGGTTACGCGTGGCATCGAACCGAAAGACAGCAGAGCTGCCTACTACCAAAGTCGGGTGGCAGTGGCGGGGCTCGAACCTCGGACCATAGGGTCCAGGGCACGCCGGTGACCGCAACCAAACCACTACACCATCACCACTAGTCGAGGTAATCAGCCTATAAATCACGCGTCGTGTTCATGTAACCGTGTAATTTTTCTGAGTAGCCGAATATGAAGTGACCGGAGTTGAGTATGTGATCTCGTAGCTTGATTGGGTGAATGTGGTACAAAGGGTGTAGGGGCCGTTCGTGCATGGGTTTGAATCTCACCGATTACATATTACGATGGAACAACTGAAGGTTAGTCTGGTAATTTTACCTGTGATTGGTATCTTGTATAACGATTTACTGTTTAGCATAAGCTATGCTCCAACAGTTTATCAAAATGATATTGCGAGATGTTGAGCAGTTAGATCTAACCGGAACCGGGTAAGTGAAATAGTGATCGCTACTGGGAGGAAATATTCACTATCATTAAGTGCACTCAGAGTACATATTATTTCGCGAGCATTGTTGGAAGCTTTGATAGACGGCAATTTCATTCTTTGTGGTTATCATGATTTGAGGACGTAAAGCCTCATCACTACGCGCACCTTACTGCCTCAATATATAAGTAGTCGGGTAGGTTAATGTTTGAAAGCTCTTTCCTTTTCAGAGTTTTAAATCAGAACACATTTCAGTGACGGACGAATCGACACACCTGATTCAATTTGATCTGTCTCTCGCTCTCACTCATACTGCTTATCGCGTCTTTGTCACTGGTATTGGTCACATTTGATGTATAACTGAAAAGGAGAATCACATGGCCAGGAGAATCTAAAAAATATAATAAATAATGAATGTCTTTTTACTTCGTTTTTCTATTTATTGGTAACATTGTCTTGGGGTCTTGGAGTGGTGAATCGCATACGCTTGCCACAAAAATTATGTCATTATAAGCCGGAAGAATGTGATACTGTTCACTACTAGATTTAGGCGGTGAGTGCAGCGGCCAAATTAAAGACTGGTGAAACTGACTGAAACCGCTTTAGAGCCATCATCACAACTGCTTTTCAATTCCAAAGTGTTATGGTTAAAAAGCCTTCTATTAAATAATAATCACTTCGACCGTAGTATTCATCCAGGTTTTCGTTTTCCCTCCCTTTTCTTCTCCTGGAAGCAAAAACTTACATTTTAATATTCGAAAGTTGAGTTTCTGAAGGAAAAAATCTAGTCATATAAGGATAGACGTGACGAAGTACTAGACACTGTCGAAGTATATTCTTCAATCACAGTCAACACGTCACTTTTCATCAATGAAAAGTTTCAGAGAAACAATTGTCTTATCCTTGTTAAGGATAATCAGCGTTGCTCATTTGCTGAATCCACTTGGACATGGTGGGCTAACTCTCCAATTGCTGGAGTTCTCCAACCCGACTCTCAGCAGCTTGTAACACGTCAACATCTATGATCTGGCACTCACCCGTTAGTTGTTAAAAGCGTTTGAACCTTCCGGGACAGTGATCAACTCCCTAATTATAGACGGCTTCTCAGAAGGGCAGGAAACCTGCATCGATTGAGTATGGATTTGTTGCGATGGAACAGCTTGGGTGATATCGGCTTCAGTTTCAGTTTCAGTTTCTGCAACCATTAACCATGCACTATCGTGCGTCGGTATTGGTTGCTGTCTTTTGGTTGACCATTTGGATGAACATAAGGAGAAAGACACGAAAGGTTGAAAGTGGAATCGAAGAGGAAATTTAGGATTTCATTGTACTAATTTTGCTGAGAAATCGATAAGATGCACGAACGCCACTGTTTACGACACCCAGCCATATCACTCAGTGTATCCAACCAT